TAGTAGTAGTAGTAGTAGTAGTAGTAGTAGTAGTAGTAGTAGTAGTAGTAGTAGTAGTAGTAGTAGTAGTAGTAGTAGTAGTAGTAGTAGTAGTAGTAGTTGTTGTTGTTGTTGTAGTAGTAGTAGTAGTATTGTTATTATTGTATAAGACATATTCGTGTAATTGCGATTGATTTTCTCTCTCAACATCTACGTCCAAACCAAAGACTTTGGGAGGCAAAGAGAGTTTTTACTTGATGGAGAGGACCCCCCTGAGAAGTTGGGCTGTAGAAAGGAGAGTTATTTTTTGGAGTTCATGTATGTTGATGTTGCTAGGGATTTTCTTGGAGGTAGTTTTCCATGTCCTTCCTGATGGTGCCAAGGGCACCCATAACCACCGGGACTGTTGTTGTTTTGAGCCCCCACATTCGCTCAACCTCAATTTCCAAGTCTATGTATTTGGTAAGCTTTTCTGTGGTTTTCACTGAGGTGTTGGTGTTGAGGGGTATAATTATGTCAATGAGAAGGCAGGTTTTATCCTTCTCGGTTCTTTAGCACAATGTCCGCCCTATTAGCTGCTATGGTCCTGTCAATGTGGATAGGCATGTCCCCCAGAATAATGGCGCTGTCATTCTCGGTGACATTCTTGGGTTCATGCTCATACCATCGTTACTTTACCTCAATGCCAAACTCTTTGCAGATCTTCCAGTGCATGTGTGCAGGTGCCTTGTTGTGGCAGTGGATGTATTCAGTTTTAGCTAGTTCAGGGCAGCCAGAGACCAGGTGGTCAATGGTCTCGTCGAAACGTCCACATAATCTACATTTTGGGTCCACGTCAGGCTTTTTGAGGATGTTGTGTTGGTACCAGCGTGTTGGGAGGCTTTGATCTTGGGTGCAATGATAAAGCCCTCGGTTTCTGCTTTGAGGCCAGCTGCTTTTAGCCATCTGTGGGTCTTATCTTGGTCCACGTCAGCCTGTTTCACCTATTGTGGGTATTTGCCATGGAGCGCTTTTGATTTCCACTTGGACCTGAGCTGTTAGCAACCCTAGTGTTTGGCCTTGGCCCTTGTTCTGCGGGCATAGGTGGTGTTCGCCTCATCCTCTGCAGGTGGTATTACAGGCACTCCCAGTTCCCGACTTAACCTCATTGACTGTCTGCTGATGGAGTACAAGGGTTTCCTGCCGTCATGGTCTTTGATAACGTGGAGGAGGGTGTCCTGCGTCTCCTGGAGGTATTTATCAAGACCGATAGTGGTTGACTTGCAGGAAAGCTGATGTTGTATGAGCCCTCTACCTCCTTCAGTTCTGAGCCAGTACAGCCTGTCCACGTCAGATTTGGGGTGGTGCATCTTGTACATGGTCAGGAACTTTCTAGTCTTTGTATCAAGTTTGGCCAGTTGTTGAAACGTCTGTCTGTCCGTGTCTGTCTCACACAGTCTTCATACATCAGCAAAAGGACTGTCTTCAAGGTCGACACGTGATGGAGGTCTATTAAGTCACGTGACAACAAGTGATAAAAAATATCGCGACAAGTTTATTGCCCCCACTCCAGGGACTGTTAAACTGTCACCCGAAGGCTTCTTCAAGTTTTCCTGTTAAAACTTAGAGACCATGAAAAAATATTTTTTTCACTCATTTTGCTAAAACGCCATTCTGTTTTCATGTTATCTCCGTACATCTTAACACATTCTACCCTGGAAATTCTGGCCAAAAAGAACCAGAGACTCAAGTTCCCCTAGGATGACTAAACAAATACTAATTTTATAGCGTCGCTTAATTAGAATACATTTCTAGAGATCTAAAAGTTCTCTGGACAGCTTAAAGAGTGTTTTTAATGTATTTAGGAGGAAACCGTCGTTGGGTGCCCCGGATACTAAATTGGAACACTTCTCGGCCTTCGTTATCTATTCCTGATATTAAATATCAGCCTTGGAAGTTAAGGCATGCGCAGAGAGCAGCGGATCTCTTTCAGCGGAATTATTCAATCTCGACCCCAGGGCCCAGTTCAGTTCGAACGCCGATTAGCGCTAACCTGGGGTTAAATTTTAACCCGGGTTTCTTTTTCTTGTTATCAAAAACATTTTTTCGGATAATTTTCTCTATATTTTTAGAGTATCCAATCATCAAATTGACGGCAAAGAGAATTAAACTGAATTTGCTTTTAAGCTCTCATATTTGAGTTCAAATTTCGCACTAACCCTGGGTTATCTTAACCCAGCTTCGAACAACCCGGCCCAGAGCTCGTCTACTTATGACGATCATGGAGGCAGAGGCGTAAGGACTGGGGTCGATATAAATGTGTATCGTTGTCCCCAGATTGTTACGTTAACAAATTTTATACTCCTACGACCAATATATTTTAGCTTATTTTTTCAAGAATCAATTTTTTTTCTTTTCAAGTGGGGAAGTCAAGGCGAGAACATGTCTGGAACACTTATGTTTTGTTTTTGAAACGGAGAAAGGCAATTGCGCTGCATGGAACCCCGAGTTCTTTGGAGTTTAGAGGAGATGAGCTCAAAAACCCATTTAGCCCGTTTAAAATTGTTTTTGAACTTTGACTAACAAGCGTACTGAAAATACTGCAGCTAAGTTAAAAAGGTCTAAAAAGATGTCAAAGATAGGTTGAGACAAAAGTTTGCAAGACAGCTGTCAATTGGTACGTACCTGTGTTCCGTTCCAACGGTGGGTTACCACGATCCAAATTCATCTTTGCACTTATGTAAACAACGCCATCAATGGTCGCCATTGCAATTCAACTCGACGCGAACAAACGAACAAAATCTTCTGAGCTTGATAAATATGCAGTGATTTTAAGACATTCAGTCTGTAACGCGAACCAGTTTCATTAACTTTAGGTAGCGGTAAGGGCGAGGCAGTATGTTAAAAACTGCCCGCGGAATATTCACGCATCAAATAAAAAAACAGCCACTCAAACCGATACGGAGTAACACAAATACCGTTTTAGATGGGTAAAAAAAATTTTAAGCTTAGCTTGAGAAATTTTTTACGCGTTTTATCTCTGGGCTGCAATAGCCTGCATCTGGACAACAACAACGTAGCTCGCTAGATAACTGACTGCGATAAAAAAAATGTGGTGATATGTTTGACTTCAATGTTTTTATTATGGTTCCTTTTTTAGCTCGAAGGCAGATACTAGCATAAATATTTGAAAACTACTTTAAGAGATTTAAATGATTCAGTAGCGAATCACCGACTTTTAAAATAAGGCCGGATTAAAATTGCTTGATGTACAAGCCAACATATCTCTGTGATAAAAGCTACTTATGCAATTAGCGAGAGTTTGCGTGGTATTTCCCATAGTTTTGCCTTAGGAAAGAAAGACAATCAGTTTCGCTAGAAAAAATAACGACAACAACAACAAAAATAATTAAAGGAAAAGGAAAACGTTACGGTACTAAAGATTTAAGGTTTACATTATCGTATATTAAATTTTTAAAAGGCGCAACGAAGCTTTAAATCATCCAGTAGCCGAAAATTTTATCATTTCTAAGACGTATTTTACTGAATCACTTTAATGTTACGTTGTTAGCCGGGCTGGCTAGTGTTATCTCTGCTGCCCCTGAGAAGCCCAGATTTCTCACTTCCCAGCCGTGGATCCCCTCCGGTTTCCACCGTTTTACGGAAATCAAAAGATGAAATAATCCGCGGATCTGGAAGCCTTCATCCAAGGAGAATGGAACTGGTCAATATCCTGTCTCTCATGATCCAGAAACCCAGGTAAGGGGGGACTTTAGGGAGTTAACAACCAAAAAATTTCTCCGGAAAGCATGATCCCGGATCTCCCTAGAAGCTTAAGCCTCGGTCAGTATTTATCCAGATTCGCGCCTGCCCTTGGGACTTTTTCTCCCTCACCCTCTCAGTCATGATATATTTTACCTCTATTTGAAAAACTACACTGTCACTCACCTAATGTTCTATGTAGCATTTACCATTCGAAAATCACGCCTTATACGCGCCATGAAGTCTGCGTAATGAAATAATTGATGTTCTGTTTTTCTTTTGCGCTTAACAACATCAGCCTGATGAATGGAATACTAAATACCACATCCAATTCGCCAAAACATTCAGCTCAAAATCCTAAACAAGCGTGGCTATTATTGCACTCCTATTTGAGTGTAGGTTTTTGTCGAGGGTCGAGGGTCAAGGGCCTAGGGTAGAATGTCGAGGGTCGAGAAAATGACATAAATTTTTTTGGCCGCGTGTTGTTTTCAAATCAGTTCAGTCAAGAAAAATCAACACAATTCCGACACTTAACCCACCAAGAAACATTTCAACAGTCTTTTATACATTCTTTCGTAAGAAATCAATACGACGATGCATAACTTAAAGTGTATTTTAAACATGAAAGATCAAACTTAAGTTGAGTAACCGATGGTTAGGAATCGGGTTTATCGTAGAGATTGTTAGATTCATGACATTGATGAGAGAACCGCTTTCATCATGTACGTACGTGAATCAGAAAAAGCCTCTTTAGATGACCGGAAGTGTCAACAAAAAGAATCACGTCGGATCATGAACACAGAAATTGACGTGAGCAACAAAGTAAACAAGGCTCATACTGAATCCAACGATTTTATTCACAGTCGGCTTTGATACAATTGACCCGCGAAATTAAAGGTGAGAAGCGAGGAGAGCCCGGGGGGGGGGGTACTCCCCTATAAAAGTGACGAGGGTACTCGTCGGAAAATTTCGAGAACGCCCCTAAAGGGTACCAGAATCTCGTTCTATGGGCATGTCCTAAATTCATTTTCACCCCTAAGAGGTAACAATTCAACAACAACAAATAATATAACTGGCACTGCAAATTTTAATAGTAATGAAGAAAACTTTCGAACACTTTCAGTCTTCTCAAAACCTTTTTGAAAGTATTGTCATAAATCCCCTAAAAGGTACGACGAGCACCCCCGTCACCTTTATAGGGGAGTACCCCCCCACCCCCTCCGCCCGTGGAGGAAAGACGGCTGTATTCGCAGGCTTACAATGCATTGAACAGTAATGCGTGACACTAAAGGTCAACCAAAGCTCGCTCAGAGATGCAATCAAAAAGCCTACAATAGGTTTTTTTTTAAATTATTGAAGCTTTCAGGTGACCGGGGGGGGGCACTTGGGTATTTTTTGGGTGGGTATGTGCCGCCCGGGACTCCAAATTGGCACCCCGTTCTAAAAAAAATTTCCCCTAAAATTGATACCCTGTTCTGGAAATGGGCCAATTTTTTATACCCCGTTCTAGAATTCGCCCTAAAACTGATACCCCAATTCTAGAAATGGGCCAATTTTTTATACTCCGTTCCAGAAAGTTTGTAAATTGAAATAGCCCTGTTTTTTTAAAAAGATATTTCTTTATTTGTTCGACTTATACATCAAATAAATGCTTCATTAAAATCAGCAACAATTTTAAGCAGAAGATAAAGCCGTGATCCACAATTTTTTATACCCCGTTCTACAAAACGCCTCTGAAATGGATACCCCGTTTTAAATCAGGAGCTTCAAAATCACGACCCCGTTGGGCGGCACATACCCGTATAGGCAATATATGGGAGTACCTCCCCCCCCCCGGGTCAGGTGACAAGTGACGTAAAATGCTTGGAAACGTATAAAAATATAAAACCATTGAATTTGCAAGCACTCGTATCTTACCGAAGAACTCGTCCCGCACTAAGCTGAGCTAAGGCTGCACTGATCGCTAAGTCTCGCATTCAGTAGATCCGGTAGCGCTTTGCGGTTATTAAAAAAGGGTATTGTGACAGTACATCTCTCGCGTGACTCGGTCAAATTTTGCGTTCTACTCAAAGGCTTTGTATTAGCATCTTGGGGTTCCCACATGAAAATTATCTATAAAATTCGCAAAGGATGTTTTTACTCGCCCGTCATTTTCTCGACCCGCGACATTTTACCCTCGACCCTCAGCATTTTACCCTCTACCGTCGACATTCTACCTTCGGCCCTCCACATTCTACCCTCGGCTCTCGACCTTCGACCCTTGCCTGTAAAAACAGTGGTGTCGAAATACATATAGACTTAGAGAAAGGCTAAGGCAAGGGTCAAATGTCTATCCATAGGCGCCCCAAGCTCACGTTACGAGTGTGTTTTGTAAATTTACTTTCTCACAAGAGAGTCGGTGTCGCGTTACAAGCGACCGATGAGACTTTGTATCGAGAAATAGAATACTGAGGTCTAAGAACGCTAAATATTATTTTCTTTTTACTTTTTTCTTATAAAATAAATAAGGGAGACTTACCTTTGATGTATTGCTGTGTTTTTTGGTGCGAATTCATCGATTTAGTCGGGTTTTTTTGGCTGTTATTGTGTGACCCCTGTCACTCTCTTCATAATACGA